TGAATACATTTCGATTTTACATCGAATCGTGGTCTTTTTTTTTTTTTAAACGCGTTCGTTCGATCTCGACGATTAAAAAATTAACCGTTTGTTGAATCGAAACGAAAGGCGCGCGTCAAGTGTGTTTCGAATCGATCGCACAAGGAAAAAATAAAGTCGAGAAAATAAGGATGGAACGAAATTTTTGTGTAAATTTCGACTGCGTTGCGTAAAAAAAAAAAAAAAAAGGAAAAATTGATCCAAGTCGCGCGAAATGAACGATTAGACAGGGCAAATAATTGTTTCAATTGCAGCCACACTCGATGGCGTGTTCGTTAACGTTGAACAAACTCGTTTCGCGCGCGCATCCCGGAACATTGCACGCTCAGCGTTCTCGGGGCTGCGCGTTAAAAAACATTAGCGACAATTTTAAACGCTTTCGGCCGGCCAATTTGAAGGGAATGCCAATTGGGGTGTGTGTGCTCGGCCAATTTTTCCTATTTTTTTCGCGCAAACAAACCCGCCTCCACCCAACGGTCCTCCAAAAAATCACCATTATTCCGCATCGTTGCGATTAATCCTCGTCGTCCAATCGCTTATTTACGCGGAACCCTCGTTTCCTCCTCTAATTCCGATCTGTTTAAAAATCGGTCTCGTTTCGTCGCGAGGGGCGTGCCGATTTAAATCCGTCTCCCTCGAAAACTCGATTTTCCGTGCGCGAAGAGAAAGAAACGAAACCACGGCCAACGTTTGAACGTCGCCGACGTCCTCGGTTAAAAGAGCACCGCGGCAAAGGAGAGAGAAATGGAAAACGGAGCAATCGGTTCCGTCTGTTCGATGGTAAAGTCCTGCATCTTGGCCGGCCGCGAAATTGCGCGGTTTGTTATTTAAGAAAAAAAAAAAAAAGGAAACGGACATGGAAAGGTTGGAGGAGGAGAGGCGATATCCTCCTTTTACGTGCGATTTTCGCTGAAAGCGGCGCGATACGATTTTTCCGTCAAACGCAAAAACGGAGGAAGAGAGGGCGGAGGAAAGAGGAAAAGATTTAAAAAAAACGCGGCAAAGGTAATCCCTCTCCCCATCTCCTCCTCTCTATTCCTTCCTCTGAAAGCTTAAATTTACTACGAGCATTAACTTGCCGAAATGGTGTACACACACACACACGTGCGCGAATCATGCGGGGGCGTGATTCTTCCAGTTGAAAGTAATTTCTCTTGTGATAACAACCTCCCGGTGGGCTAACGCTCGCTCATGAGAATTACAGCTCCGCGACCGGCTCAACCGGAATAAACGCTTATGGTACACTTTTTCCCCCCGTGATTCGAGCTATTTCCTCGAGAGGAGAGGTCGACGGACTCTCGTGATCTCGGCTCCGTTCCTGTGAAATCGCGTCGTTAATGTTCTTGTCCACACTCTTACTTGTCTCGCAAGTATTTTCTCTTCGATCGAGGAAAATGTTGTTGTATCGAGATGACAAGAATTCGAGAGAGAAAGGATATCGCGAAGGAACGTTTGGACGGAGAACGTGATCGATCCTCGAGTATCCGGAAGACGAAAGGTAAGGGAGAGATTTTTACAAGGATTCGAAGTTTGAACCTCTTCGTTTGGAATCTTTGGACGATCAAAAGAATCGGTCACGTGAAACGTACGAAAGGTTGTTTAAGTTTTACAGTGTAAGGTTATGTATGGAGGGAAATTGAAGCTTCGTATCGAGACGGTAGCGTTTCGAATTGCGACATCGTGGATGATGTTACACTATCGATGAATGTGAAAATTGATTTGATCAAGTATTTTGACGTATAACAAAGCCTCTGCTGGCATTCCAATTTTAATCAATTGATATTTTAATCGATAAATTACAGCATCAATTTTTCAAAAACGAAACGTACACGTGTATATATATATATATATATAAGCCACTAATTGAATTTAGCGTCGATACTTTTTCATCAATTTCGAAATGATTCCATTTGCAAAAAGGATGATTCTTTTTTTTTTCTTTTTTTTTACACATTAGAGAAATGAATTTTTCCCATATTGCTTTCATTGTCAATAGCACGTATGATATCACGACCCTCCTCTAAAATGGCCCATATTTATCGAGGTTGAGCACCAAGTTAAACCCTCCGCGATACCGTCGATCGTTGGCGCGCTTGACGTTGTGCAAACTCATAATCGTTCCGATTCGCGAGTCCTCAAAGCAACCCTCGAACTTACCCGCCATAGAAGGGAAACTTGTTTGACGCAGCCTAAGGCGGTTCGAAGTCTCCTCACGTCAAGGATTTTGGACAGTGCTTAATGTTGTTCCACTTGCGACTGCAATAAGTCTTCGAGATACACTCGAAATCCATCCCCATCCCGACTTGTAATTAATCACGCTCTGAATCCCTTCGGATATCGAACAAATCATCCTTCTTCTTAAAAAATATACACCTTTTAATACTCGTTTTTTCTTTTTAACGCTATGATCTTTCCAATCTTTCGCGTGTAAACGCTTGTTTTCAATATACTTCTTCTTTCTCCTATCTATTTTACTCTGCTGCTGCTATTTTCCACTATTTTTTTTTTTCATCTTGTTTTTTTAAGTGTGTCGTGACCCCCTCATCTTTTTCACGCTTCGTTGCTATTTACGATTATACTTTATCGTTATTTATCTCCTCTCCGTACAAGCGAATTTCAAAATATCTCTACACCATTTGTACACAAACACGCGGAAAAAACGAGAAACGTGTCTCAACCGGATTCGAACCTGGAATTTCTCGGGCGAGAGTCAAACATCCAACTCATCGCTCCATTAAACGATCTTTCCTATCTTTCGTTATTATCAATACAATCATATAATTTCCATCTTCCTCGCCAACTCTCCAAATACTTAGTCAAATATTCATAAATATTGGGGAATGATTCAAGGGAGTTTTCCCAACGACGAGGAGAATTCTTCGAAATTCGGTTAGCGAATTAACGGGCCGATTCGTCCCGTTATTAGGTTGCCGGTAATTCGCGCGAGATAATTTAGTTCTTAAGTTACATTAGCTGCACCCATTTTACATCTGTTCTCCGGCTTCCGCTCAACGGAATCTCAACGGCAAACAAAAGGATCGTATCCATTTCCCGCAGATCCTAACTCGTGACATCCCCGTAGGGATATATTCTGCAAGCGCACGCTGGCACACCTTACAAGTACTACGTAATTCCGTTGTTTGCCAGTCAACCGAAACTCGTCGCTTTATTTAATTAAAAGCGGGAGAAACGCTTTTAACGTCCGCGGAAATGATAAATCACGTTTATTATAATGCCGCCATCGGTGTATACTAACACGCTTTACGCGGTTTTATATAATAATAATGGATAGTAATTCGAAATAACTCGATTCTTCCGTGTGTGCACGCATCTTATTCATTTCATCGGGAAAGATCGATCGATTCTTGGAACACTTCTTATAGATCTCCACTTCTTATCCTCGCTTCTTTCACGAATCGATAAATCGCAATGCGCTTTGTAAAAATAAAAAAGAGAAGCGTTCTTTTCAAAATCCATTCGAATGAGTCGATCGAATTTCTCGTATTGTCAGACTGTTCTACGATCTCTTCTCAATTTCTTTTTGCTATTAATATCGAATTGAATTATTCTCTCATCGAATCTACGTAGACAAGTTTCTTCAAGTCCCACTCGAGGGATGGGATTCCATTCGACGTTTCCCCCGGAAAATTTTAATCGAAACTCTCCACTCCCAGCGAGAGTTTAACGCGGGGATACGTTAATCTTCGAAAATTTTGTTCTCTTCGCCCGGCGAGGCCACCGAAAAGGAGCCTCGCTCAAATTAGATGGGCGGGGCTGAAGCTTGTGAATACCAACCATCGGCCGCCATCTGCGAACCGTTGGCCGAACAATCTTGGAAACTGCGGCTCGTGCGACTGCCGCGTTCCAACCTTTAGAAACCTTTACGATTCTCCTTTCCCTTTTCCATCCTTGATCGACGGTTAAAACGGCCGTTTGTGAAATTGGTAAAAAACCGCTATCATTTTTCACTACCTACTTCTCGAGAAGAAAAATTCCTCGGGAAAGAATCGGAGGTTGTAAATTGGAAAGGTTGGGAAACAAATATGACGCGTGGAAAGAAGTATATAGCATCGTGAATTCCAGCGTCTGTTTCGTGGATTTCGCGCTGAATGTAAAGTCGAACGTCGTAGAACGGAAGACAGTTGAGAAATTCGCAAACATAATCAATGATGTATCTTCGCCCGTGTTCGTTCCCAACTTCGCCCCAGATATCCGCAAAGCCCCCGCGGCACCGAGTTCGCCATTACTATTTGGTTGGCAACGAGACACGCGCAAAGTGGCGGAGAATAATTACAAGTTCGTTCCATTGAATCCGGAATGCGCTAAACAACGCGGAAACAGCCGCATTGCGATTCGATGATTAATTCAATCTCGGGCTAATGCATACTGATCCAGGCTGTGCGCGAATTGAATTGTTTTAAATGCCCTCCTCCACCACCCCTACGATGATAAACGCGCCTCCACCCGTGGCCCGACCCGAGGAGATTTTGCAAATTTACGGAAATGGCGCGGAGCTAAAATGGCCGTGGCTTGGATAACTCGTAAGAGATAGGGATTGAAATTTAACTTCCTGCGAAGATGTAACATTAAGATTGCAACGGATTTAATCCTCTTTTTTAAGAGATTCAATCTTCAACGCTTCGCCCCGGGCGGCTCACTTCTTCCTTCCTTCCTTTCTTCGGTTCCTTTCTTCGGCGGCGGTAAAAAATGTAGCGGTATCGCGCGAGTTTCGCATGTACGCGCGAATGGAATTTAGTTCGTTAACAATCGCGCAATTATTAGACGCGCTGTAAAAACTATCCTTTCTTTTCTTTCTTTTTAACGGGCTCGTATATCGTTAAATCAGTCTCGTCCGAGGTTTTAAGCCGTTCCGTTTGGAAGAAACGAAAGAGAGATCACATTTCTCTTCTCGGCTTCGGTTTTGTTAAGTACAGTTCGAGCCGAATGATCAATTTGTATCCATGTATGGGATGACACGTCACACTTTCAAACGTTCGACGACGTGCATCGTGGTCGTGTGCTGCCTCGCCTCGTGGGTATCGTGGCACGGAGTGTCCGGAGTGAAAAACATCACCTACGGGGTAGCGAGACACCTTAGATCTATTGGATTTCCCGAGGGCAGCGGCACAGGGGTGGAGTATAGAATAAATCATTTATTTTTCATCGACTAATGCTATTATCGAGTTAAACCGATACCACCCGGCCACTACACAATTTCATCTTTTATCGCATGAGATATTGAATAAGGGAAAAAATTGCAATTGAGATAGGAATAAATGATTTTCTTACGTTTGTGTGTGCAGATATTCTTCGCCCTTGGTGTGCCGCTCGACATTCCCGACAAATCGGTGCTATTTTCTCTGTATTTCGAGGCGAATTATGGACTCCCAGGGGAATGGAGCTCCAATTATTACGGGGACGAGGAATCGAATCTCGAAAAACGAAGTCTGGATCGACGGCTGGCTTACGATATTCTTATTAGCAAATTGGAAAGGTAGAAGTATTGGTTAGAAGTGAAATTAGGTAAATTAAATTGGATTAAAGAAAGATTAGAAAAAAAAAAAAAAAGAACCTACGATATTTTTGTTCACAGTTTCGGTTATTCCGGGGAAAATTGTCTGCTAAAAATGATCTGCGAAGTTGCGAACTTTCCTCTAACTAATAATGGAGTGCTCGGCGACGTCCTGCAAATTTTATTTACGTGAGTGGTGAAACATACTTTATATGAAGTGTAGTTTAAAAAAATTTTTTTTTCAAATTTTCCACTAAATTAATTTGATGACAAGTTTCGTAATAATTTTTTTTTCCCCCTTCTTCTTCGATATATTTAACTATAGAATTAAAAATAATCTATATAACGCGATATAATTTTTATCACAGGCCATCCTCTTCGCAAGATGAAAATCTTCCGAGCGAGATCACCGAGGCTGAGTACACGAAAGATTGCAATAACCGCTATAAAAAATGCCCTCAAAGTCCATTAGCCTTGATAAGGTACCACGATCTCAACGATAATAGTTAGAAAAGCCACGGTTATTAAACGCAATCTTCATAATTCGGTACAGTTCATGGCCTATCGTCCGATAACGAGTCTCGTAAAAAAAAAAAAAAAAAACAACGTGAAGATTCTTACATCTCTGAGACAAATAATATTTATCAACATCGAACGATACATATCATTTTTTTTTTGTACAACAATATTGCAATATTTATTAAATCGAAAATACACGCGTACTCATTGCGTATTCGCACGATTCATTTTTCATTTTCAAGGAACATTTCGACATTTCGCTAATAAGAGCTTCAACCGAATATTCGCGAGACATATACGAAGATTGTTCATTAAAAGAAGAGTAACGCAATTTATAGTAATACTTTCTTATATGTATAAAAATGATGTGTTTAAATTATAATTGTAGCTAACAACGATGAAAGATTGAAAATGATCGAAGTAAAAATACTTAAGAACTATGGAAGAAGAATATTATCGAAACCGCTTCTTTTTGAAGAAAAAAAAAATATATATATATATATATATATATATATATATATATATATAT